TACTATTTTAGTTGCTGGGTTTTCAATACATTTTAACCCAATTTTCCAACTATTGGTCATACTTTTATTGGGTATTTTTGACTGGTTAATTACTTTGGGTGTATGTACCAATTGCTATATTTCAAGTTTATAGAATATTTAAATTCTTTCTCTGGATATGTCCAGCCTGTATGATCTTACCATAAAATACCACCTGTTTTATCTCAACCTTTGTTAGTTTTTTTGATAGATCACAAGCATCCTGCCTTTATCAGTCATCTGTTTATCAGTCATACTCTCAAATATCCCATAACTTCGGTTTTATCACAAGTGCTAACTTTCTATTTTTTTATGCCAATGGAGCATTGCTTTAACCTATGTGAATTAACCTCTGACGGCACAGTATAGTTCACTGTGTGTTACAGATGGAAGTTCAAGAAAAACATTATCTTATTTTGTGGTTTTGTGTTGATATTCTGTACTGCTGCCTGTATTGCTACAATTTCTGTGTTTTCAGAGTATTACAGGTCTGGAAGAGACTGTGAGAGGTCATCTTGCACATCTCTGCACAGGAGAAACTGTTTACTTAATGATAGTTTTAACTGATATATATATCTCTTATGTATTTAAAGATTTCCAATGACAAAGACTGCTTAGGCCATCTATTCCAATATACCAGGGTTCTCACTGCTAGAAAGTCTTTCTTTCTTGATAGCTAATGCAAATCTTCTTTATTAAAGGTAAAGCAGCTATTTCCTGTGTTTCCTGGACACTGAACAAGTTTCTTCCCCTTTCTGTTTGCACCGGCTTTCTGCATATTTGAACCCTGTACCTTTCCCCTTTATTGGTGAATGAAAAACTGGACATGAGCTGGCAATGTGCACTTGCAGCCCAGAAAGCCGATTGATCCTGGGCTGCGTAAAAAGCAGCATGGCCAGCAAGTCAAGGGAGGCGATTCTCCCCCTCTGCTCTGCTCGACACCACACCTGGAGTACTGCATCCAGCTCTGGGATGCCCAGTACAAGAAAGACATGGACCTGTTAGAGCAGTTTCACAAAAATTATCAGAGGGCTGGAACACCTCTGCTATGAAGAGAGGCTGAGAGAGTTGGGGTTGTTCAGCCTGGAGAAGAGAAGGCTCTGGGAGGCCTTATGGTAGCCTTTCAGTATATAAAGGGGGCTTATAAGAAAGATAAAGACTTTTTACCAGGGCCTGTAGTGATAGGAGAAGGGGCAACAGTTTTAAACTGAAAGAGGGTAGGTTTAGATTGGACATAAGAAAGAAATATTTTATGCTGAGGGTGGTGACACTCAGGAACCACTGGAACAGGTTTCACAGAGCAGCTGTGGATGCCCCATCCCTGGAACTGTTCAAGGCCAGGCTGGATGGGGCTTTGAGCAACCTGACCTGGTGGAAGGTGTCCCTGCCCATGGCAAGGGGGAGGACTAGATGATCTTTAAAGGTCCCTTCCAACCCAAACCATTCTGTGATTCTATTTTAGGGTAAACAACCTCACTTTATTCTGCTTTTCCTCATAGGGCATGTTTTCTAGATCTCCTGTTATTCTTTATGATTCTTCTGAATTCTGTTCAGTTGGTTTATTTTTGAAATACATTTTACAGAGAGATGGTTCTTCATCAGAGCCTTATCAGCGTACATCATCACTTTAAGTGAGAAAATGCTGTAATTCTTAAACAATTAGTATCTGTAATGTAGCAAATCACACCACTATTTTGCCAGTTGCATTCTTCTTAACATGGTTAGTAACAATGGTTTCAACAGTAAACTAATGCAGGTAAACTGGGATGGTTTATAATATGGTTCCACAGAAGTTTGTAGGGAGAATTAGAAACCATCCTTGGAGGCAAGAAAGATGATGAACAGTGCTTAGCTGAATATGAACTTCTAAAGAGGGCTGTATTCCACACAGCTAAGGTGATCTTTGGATATAAAACCAGAATATTAATTTCAGAGATTTTATAGCTATCTCAAATTTGAAACATTACACTAAGACTCCTTTTGAAACCAGAACAGCAGTACTGTGTCTAATTCTTACTTCTGTGATTCAGAAAAAGCATTGAAAAATGGTGGACATTTGTGGTGGGTTGACCTTGGCTGACCACCAGATGCCCACCAAGCCACTTTATCACTCCCCCTTCTCAAAAGGACAGCGGGAGAAAATATGATGAAAAAGCTTGTGGGTTGAGGTAAGGTCAGGGAGGTCACTTACCAGTTACCATCATGGGCAAAACAGACTTGACTTGGGGAAATTAATTTAGTTTATTGACAATTAATTGCATCACACTAGGACAGTGAGAAGTACAACAAAACTAAAAACACCTTCCCTCGATCATTCCTCCTTTATTCCCAGGCTCAACTTCACTCCTAGATCTTCTACCTCTTCCTCCCCCCGAGCAATGCAGGGGAATAGGGAATGGGGATTGCGCTCAGTTCATAACGCTTTACCTCCGCTGCTCCTTCCTCCTCACACTCTTCCCCTGCTCCAGCATGGGGTCCCTCCCATGGAATACATTCTTTCACAAACTTCCCCAACTTGAGTCCTTCCCACGGGCTGCAGTTCTTCACGAACTGCTCCAGCATGGGTCCTTTCCACGGGGTACAGTCCTTCAGGAACAGACTGCTCCAGCACAGGTCTCCCAGGTCCTGCCAGAAAACCTGCTCCTGCATGGGCTACTCTCTGCATGCCACAGTTCATGCCAGGAGCCTGCTTCAGTGTGGCCTCTCCATGGGCTGCAGTTTCCTTCAGAGCACATCCACCTGCTGCGCCGTGGGGTCTTACACAGGCTGCACTGTGGACATCTGCTCCACCGTGGTCCTCCAGGTGGAGAACACCTGGACATGAGGGGACCACCTGCGTCACCAGGGTCTTCCTCATGGGATGCAGGGGAATTTCTGCTCCAGCGCCTGGAACACCTTCCCCTCCTCCTTCTTCACTGACCGTGGTGTCTGCAGAGTTGTTTCTCTCATATTTTTTCACTCCCCTCTCTACAGCTGCTGCACAGCGTTTTTTACCCCTTCTTAAATATGTTATCACCAACGTTGCTGATTGGGAGTGATTTGGCCAGAAGTGGGTCTGTCTCGGAGATGACTGAAACTGTCTCTGCCTGACATGGGGTCAGCTTCTGTTGTCTTCTCACAGAAGCCACCCCTGCAGGCCCTGCCCCCTCCCCTTACAAAAACCTTGCCACTTAAACCCAATAGAAGGTTTCAGAGAAGAGCCATGAGAACAATTGAAAGATGGTAAAGAGGGGTCTAATGATGAGAGTCTCGGTCTGGTTAGCTTCTCAGGGAGAAGGTAAAATATCAGAGAACAGGAACTTGGTACAAAAGGAGGCTTCAGCGTAGCAAGAATTATTTAACCGATTCAAGTTGATGTTAGGTAAACTGAAATAAAAGATAAGGTGAGTTGTTTCTTTTAACCAGTAAGTGAAATTACTATTAGGGCAACTTGCAGAAGTATGGATTCATATGTCAGGGACTTATTTTTAACATGGATTTAGTACTTTATTAAGTAACTTGCTCTAGTGTAACTAACTCATCTGGCCTATGTTATACAAGCGTTCACAGTGTCTTCTGTCTTCACCTTTTATGAACATAACGCTGATCATCCAAGCTACCTTGCAGAGAAGACCTGTCACGAAGTCTGATTTGTAAAGGCAGGTAGTTTGATCTGAAGACTTGAAATTGTGCAGAATTACCAAATCCCTTGCTAGTTTAATTTTTACTCTGCTGAGCTATTCTTAGTGGCCATTGCCAAATTCTGTGTGGTAGAGTTAGGGTTGCATTAAAATGTGGTGTATTTCTTTATGAATCTTATTTGTCGCAAGGATTTTAAGGTTGATAAATTCCTACGTTCTGGAGTGATGTGGGGTATGATAGGCAAGATCTGAAGGATTTAGTAATAAAAGCAGCAGTGTTTTTCAGTAAGCCATGGCAACTTCTCTCATGACAGCTGCCGCATTGTTTGGGAAGTTAATTTAGGGACATTCAGTAGGTTGTGGTCACTGGCACCTCTTTTTCCTTGTAAGTGAGGATTCTGAAATGGCATATTAAAAGGATCAGGCAATTTTAGAAGCTAAGCTAAACTACCCAAAATGAACGCAAATGTGGTCTGATAAGTACTTGTCTATATCTTGGGCAGTTTAAGGAGTCACCATCCTGCAAGTCTGATACAGTATCCAGTCAGAAACTAATTTCAATGCAAAGTAAACACTAAGGAAAGTGGCTTATTCGGCTTTAGGTGGCGTGGCATGCTTCGGTCTAGCTGACAGAAGTATAACTACATCTGGTGGTTCTTAGTTGAAGCTGTGTAAATTTATACCGCAAATAAGACACAAGTACTAACCTATAAATCCAGTAAGAGGAAGGGGGGAGATCTCTACCTGAGACACACAAACAGAAAAGGGCATTAAAATGTTGGATGACTGTTCAGGTATGCGTCATGATACCTAGTCTACAAGGTACTTAATGAATTGGGACCTGTCTGTCTCAGGCTAACTTACTTGCCCTTCATAATTTTAGAATGAGTTGTGCCCGTGGAAAGAGCTGAGTTAGTCTGCGAAAAGAAACGGCACATTTCCTGTGTCAGGCACCTGGCTGTTTATCACTGTGCCAGAAATCAAGCCATTTCAAGGTGTTTATGTTTTGTTTCCTGTTGTCATCTCTAGTGACAAAGTACCGTACATTGTTATCACTCTGCACTTTTGACTAGCTTTGTCTTACTGTCCTTTATAAGTCATGTCTACTGATGACTTCTCTTTTGCTAATATGCTCATAGCAATGTTCAGTGTCAGGAAAACTCATAGCTAAACCTAGCTAAGAAAAGGTCCTAGTTTTGCATAATCTCTTAGTCCTGGAATGTTTCAGATTAGTGAGGTGAAACCTAATTTGTGACCCTGACTAGTTGGACTGGGCTTTGCATCCTGGGTTTAAGTTGTGAGGAAAACAGAACTTGGAAAGTTGTGTCATTCTAAGCTTGGTTTTTGTGTCTTACAGACTTCTGGGACACAGCTGGACAGGAGAGGTTCCAGAGCATGCATGCATCCTATTACCATAAGGCTCATGCTTGTATCATGGTAAGGGTGGTGTCTCAGCTGTGATCTGATGAAATTTTGAGTAGTAACAGTCCCAGTTGACACCTGGCCTGTATGTTACTTTTTATAATTACTCTGCCTTGTATTGACTCTTCTAGTGGTTTATAAAACTTTCCTATATTGTTCTTTCTTCTCTCACCAGATAAAATCAGTGTAGTTGGGTACATTTAGCTCTATTCTGTCTTTCCTGATAGCACTCTTACTATGTTCCCTGGCTTTGCTGTCTTCTAAATTTCCTTACTTTGGTTACTGTATTTCCAGTAATGTGGTACGTACAATAGAATGTGCTTATTTAGAAGCAGTGCCGTCAGAGGTGATGCAAGGGAGAGGGCATTCTTTTCTTGTTCTGTGATGTGACTATTGGATTGTGTAGTACAAAACTGTTCTGACATGTTCTGCAGTGGTACTACATAAGACATTCTTCTCTGCTCTTCTGCCCTTTCTATTTTCCTATACTTTGTGCTTCCCATTTATTGGCTCAAATCAGTCTTATTTCCTGACTGCTAACCCGCTTAGGTCTCGGTTTGTACTGTTGCTCTAACTTTCCACTATTTCTCATCACTTGTGAGCATCAGTCAACTTCATTGATATTTTAATTGTTAAAACAGAGAGGCCTCATGTCTGACCCTACTTAGCAGAACAGATCTGTCCCAGTGCTTGTTCACTGTCATGGGTAATAGAGTGCTTGTCATAGTACAAAATAAGAATGTAAAGGAAAATGTGGGACTGTTTCCTGCATCATGGAAAGAAATGGGCTGACAGCATGTTTCAAGGCTTGCTGGATATTCTCCCTTTTCTCTTTCAACCTTTCTAACAAAGGCCAGTTTCCTTTGTTGATGTCCTCCTGGGAAAATTCTGGATTCTGTACTTGTGTTTGGTGCAGTGGGTTGATCAGGGGCTGTCCTGCTGTTGGCCCCATGATAGCTGATTCTTTTTCGGAAGGTGTTTGATGTGCAGCGGAAAGTCACCTACAAGAACTTAAACAGCTGGTACAAGGAGCTGAGAGAATTCCGCCCAGAGATTCCTTGCATTGTGGTGGCCAACAAAATTGATGGTGAGTATATCTTCTTCTTCCAGCTTCTCAGGATTGTGATTCTCTTCTGACCTGGCTGAGAAAGAATGTCATTCATCTGTTAGGTCCAGATGAGTTCTTGAGTATTAGTCCCTCAGGGCTGTATTTTACCAAATGAATAGCTGGGTCCTCTACTGACCTTGTATGCTGTCTTATAGTCTCTTGTCCTTGTTTTACTAACAATTAAAAATACAAATTTGATCCATTTAAAGTTTATTCAAGTGACGTCCTTCCAATTCTGTCTTTACCACACTGCCTATTTCATCCAGCAAGAACCCAGAAGCTGATTGGAGCAGTACCTAGTCAAAAATTGCAGGGTATCTTGCTGATAAAGGAGCATAACATAGTGTCTTGCTGGTAAAGGAGCATAACATAATCTTTCCGTGATACAGTCAGTAACTGCCTTTGTATTGCTAATTCAGCCTGCAGGTTTCTGTGGGACTCCTCTGTGCTACGGTGTCTAAATACACTTGCTGGTGAAATTGTTCACCTTCCTCTGCAGATGACTGGATGATTCCCTCCTCTTAGGAATGCTAGCTAGGCATTTGTTATTGCTATCATTTGGGTTGTGATCTCTCTCCTGCATACTGTGAGAGTGCATAACACATCAGCTTTCTGCTCAGCATCAACGAGAGGGTACATAACCTTAGGACCACAGTCTCCTGGTATTCTTTATCAAGTACAGTGTCAGACATGGGCTTCCTTGCTGACATTCATGGTAGAAATCATCGCAGCTATGAATAGGTGTGTCCACCTGAATAAGGTGTCTGCGCTCCCACTGTAGTCTACGGAAGTTCATTTGGTGCAGCAGTGTGGTTTAGGGCGTGAATGGTCTTACCTAATAAAGCCTTTCCTATAGGATGTGTCAAGCCAGCCTTGAATCCACTGATTGCACAGACTGTACAGGAAGTCTGAGGCAAACGGACTTCATGTTGACAGCCATATTATAGACAGAACCTCTGTGTAGATGAATCCTGCTCTTGGTGTTCTATGTATGAGTGGGCGCTGCTCCAAAAGAGTCCTCTGCCTTGCCTTCATTTGCTGTGTTCCACCTGGACAAGGAAATGATCAGCCCACAGCTCTTAACACAAGCCCAGTCTGCAGAACAGTTGATACAGCCTCCTGCAAAGAGGTAGGGAGTGGCTGCCTGGGCAGTGCTCGCTGGCAAGCATTTGGAGTCTGAACTACTTCAGCTTTTTGCTTTTATGAGAAAAGGTGGCTTATCTGGAGTCATCCTCCTATGCTGGCTGTCCATCTATCAAAACTTTGAGCTGTTACTGCTGTGTCGGCACGTACTGTAAACACGCAGTAGATTTGCTGCGAAACTGAAATAAAGCCTCTGGCATACTGAGGCTGGGGTAGCTGGACCTAACTGCCTGTTAAGTAACAGTTGAGTCATTTGTATACTGTGAGCATGCCCTTGACTCAGGAATATAGGTAACACGGCATAAGGGCAGTGGGGAGTTCTGGTTAAAAAGGCCAACCTAGAGGGAGAGGCATGACTAGTACTGGCAATGGTGTCCAGGTCACGTACGCACACAACAAAAATCATAGGGATGTGCCTGGGAAACATTCATAGTTGCCACACAGCAAGTGAACTGATATGTTCTAAGCTGCAAAGCATTATTTATAGCACATCAGAATCCATCTGTAATTTAGTCAAGCACCATGGATAAACCAACAAGAACTCTTTTCTTTTGGTGTCTTCTTGTCAACAGTTTGCTGATGATGTTGCTTTTAAAACCCTATAGCTTTTGGGCAGGACTTTTCTAGCCTTGTACTACAGTGAGGAGGCCTTGACAGCTAAATCGGGCTCTGGTCTCCATTTGTTCCACTACTGCTGCATATGTTAGCATTCTGCCTACAGTGATGTCTTACTGACCACTTCTTTTTTTGCCCCCAGTGGATATGAAGGTGACTCAGAAAAGCTTCAACTTTGCCCGGAAGTTCAGTTTGCCCTTTTACTTTGTGTCTGCTGCAGATGGCACCAACGTAGTGAAGGTAAAACATAGCTATTTGACTCAGCATCTCTGAGACCCCTAGACAATCCAAGGACATGGAGACTACTGTAGGCACAGAGAGCAGAAAATGGGCTAGTATGTCTGTTTGGCTACTTGTGAGGTCCTGGTAGCTATAGGTCATTGCAGAAGTTTTTTTTTTTTCTTTGGGGTGTGGGAACAATTTCCATATGTTACAGAAACCCAGTGCCCCTTGCTTTGAGTGACAAGCATTCTCCTTCTCATCAGCTCTTCAATGATGCTATCAAACTGGCAGTTGCCTACAAACAGAATTCAGGAGATTTCATGGATGAGGTCATGCGAGAACTGGAGGTAAGAAAGGCTCTACTTACTGCACTCCTCCTAAGTGAATAGACCCTCTGCTCTTTTTTCCCTCAGGGAAAGCAGAGCCTATGGCAAAGGGTGAGACTTTGGAGGCATGGAAAGATTTGCCTTATGCTGGTGACACCATGGGGTTTGTGTGCTGCTCATGTCTAGGTTGGAAGGGGTGAGGTGGTGACCCTCTGAAGAGCCCATGCAGCCCTAGACCAAATTTGAAAGAACCACAGCAGAGTGTAGCTGTTATTCTCATGCTTCTCAGCAGTTTCTTGTCCTGCTCCTTTCCAGAGCTTTGACCTGCAGAAGAGTGAGAATTTGTCAGATGAAGAGGAGAGCTGCCCTGAAGAGAAGCCCTCATCTGCCTAAGCCCTGGACCCTGAGTCTGTTTTTCCCTTTGCTCTAGATTTCTGGGGCTAGTTAGAGCTGGCCTTCACAGAGGAAAGTGATTTTTCTCATTTCTGGTGATGGGCAGCTGGGCCTCTCCCCTTCTTGTGGGAGACTGTCTGTGCATGACCTTCCTTGACTCGGCCCTAGCCACTGCACATCACGGTCAAGGAAAGGGCGAGAGTATCCACATGGTTGGTAGTTACTGCACGCTTCTTCAAGGCAAAGCTTGCCAGGAGAGCTAAGCCGCTCCTGGACCTGCAGGGAAGGGTCCTGCCCAGATGCTTTAATAGTAACTACTGGAGAAAACAAACACTAAAGAATTTTTTTTTATATAAAGCTTTGAGCTTGCATCCTTCCTGCACTTTTGTTATAAGGCAGTCCAGTTACTGTAAGTCCAACTGCCAGCCCTCCCCATTGCTTTCACAGCCTAGCCGGTGCTGCCTCTCTGTCCACCTCTGTGATCTCTGCTGCAGAGTTTCTTTGGGTTTCCTTCCCCATTCTGTTACAGAGCAGCCAGATCCAGTACACTTCAGAACGTGGGGGATTTCTCCTTTCAGGGCCACTAGAGCTGAATCAGGTGGACTCTCACAGCCAGGAGGCTTGTCCTAGCCCAGCCTGATGGATGTGGCTCCGGCTGTTCCCATGTGTGTGTTCAAGAGCCTTATGCTGCATTCCAAAGAGCCAGATACACAAACACACACACAGATTTACACAATTAATGTGAAGGGCAAAACGGTTTGACATAGACAGAGCAACGCCTTGCCTTGACCAGCACCCATGTATACATAACCACCGCTGACATAAACATGAACACAGTCCAGTCCTTTTCTGCCTTTCCAGATGATCGGGATTAGATGTTTACTAGTGAAACATAAACACATATTCACACTTAGATTCGTAAGTGCAGCATGTTTATAGATTCCACAAATAACAGTATGGAAATTAAGTACATGTAAATATCTGTGGCTGGATGTCAAGCTCCTTACCCAGCTGTTAGTCCAAACCTTGGGTCTTTCTAGATCTGTGCCTCCTGGATCATGAGAGAGTCCAGTTTCCATATCACTGCTGTATTGTACACACACTGCAGTGATCTCACCAGTAGCCGGCTTAAGACACATTGTGTTTCCAACTGCTGTCCCCAAGACTTCTAGCCCCACTATGACCTCTGTTCCCTTCTTGCACCCTCACCTTCCTCTCTGAGCAGGCACGGTTTCAGCCG